GTTACCAAGTTCTACCAAAGTGGCTAAGTATATCTGCTTGTTTAAGCAGGGAAGGGAATTGATGCTAAAGTTCATTTCTAAAGGGAGACACTTTGGCATTATTAAGGATGACTGACAAAGGATCTTGTGGTTTGAGTAGAAGACAAGTGCAGAGGAGTTTTGAGTCTGGGTGGTTTTGAGGTTATATGTAAAGTCAGGCTGACACTTCCTGTGTTGAGGCCTCTGTGTGTGTGTGTATATATATATATATATAATTTTTTTTTAAAAATATTTTTTGAGAGATCTCTTTTCTAACAGTACTCAGTCTTTTTCTTTTTTTTCTTTTTTGTCAGAGTCTCCATGCTCATGGTCACTGCAGCCTCCACCTGCTGGACTCAGGTGATCCTTCCACCTCAGCCTTCCAAGTAGCTGCAACCACAGGTGTGCATCACCATGTTGGCCTAATTTTTTTGATTTAATGTAGAAATGAGGTCTCACCAAGTTGCCCAGGCTGCTCTAGAACCCCTGGGCTCAGGCAGTCCTCACTTCAGCCTCCCAAAGTGCTGAGATTATAGGCGTGAGCCACCATGCCTGGCAGTACTCAAGTCTTAGAAAGGATATTGTCACTCAAAACAGAGATGATGCCCTCTCAGAGAATTTGGTACTTTATTTTTTATATTGTTGTTTCCAGCCAAACCACCCTTGGAACCTATGTATAAATACTAAATTTTATGAGAATTAAGTTATAGTTTAGCAGTCTCAACATCAGAGATCAGCACTTAAAAGAAATCTTCAAGCTGGGCACCGTAGCTCACATCTGTATTCCTAGCACTTTGGAGGCCAAGATGAGAGGACTGCTTGAGCCCAGGAGTTTGAGACCAGCTTGGGCAACATAGTGAGACTTCTGTCTCCACAAAAAATAAAAATAAAAAAATTAGCCAGGTGTGGTGGTATGTGCCTGTAATCCCAGCTTCTCGGGAGGCAGAGGGGGAAGGATCACCTGAACCCAGGAGGTTGAGATTACGGCGAGACTTGGTTGTGCCACTGCCCTCCAGCCTGGGCATGAGGGAGTAAGACCTCGACTCAAAAAAAAGAATAAGAAAAATGAGAAGCAGTTGTCTGCTTTCTGCATTCTGATCCATGGATGGAGATAGAGGACTCAATATTTATTTGAGTTATGGTCTTACTCTGTTGCCCAGGCTGGACTCTATATTTTATGTTTGTTTGTTTGTTTAAGTTAGGGTCTTAGTCTGTTGCCCAGGCTGGACTCAATATATATATTTTATTTATTTATCTATTTGAGTCAGAGTCTTACTCTGTTGCCCAGGCTGGACTCAATATTTATTTTATTTTATTTATTTGAATTAGGGTCTTACTCTGTTACTCAATTTATTATTTATTTATTTGAGTCAGAGTCTTGCTCTGTCACTCAGGCTGGACTCAATATTTACTTATTTAATTTATTTATTTGAGTCCGGGTCTTACTCTGTCGCCCAGGCTGGAGGGTAGTGGCAGCTCATGGCTCACTGCAGCCTCGACTTTCTGGGCTCAGGTGATCCTTCTGCCTCAGCCTCATGAGCAACTGGGACTACAGGCACATGCCACCACACCCAGCTGACGTTTTTATTTTTTTATAGAGACGAGGTCTTGCTATGTTGCCCAGGCTGGTCTCGAACTCGCTCAAGTAGTCCTCTAGCTCTGCCTCCCAAAGTGCTGGGATTATTGGTATGAGCCACCATGACTGGCCTCAATCTTTACTCCTGAGTTAATGTCTTCCTTAAGTCATTGGGTTTTTTGTTTTTGCTTTCTTTCCTTTGCCATTTAATGGTGTTTATAAATAACGAAGACACCAAAATGGAGGCAAGCAGGTAATGAAGCCTGAGAGCATCACTTAAGACTCACCACCTGGAAACTCCAACTCAGCGGTACTTCTTAGGTGTGTGTTGGTTTGGTTTGGTTTGTCATTTGTTTCTTGCTTCCTCAAACTCATAACTTGTCATTTTGTTCAAGGGCCACACCATCTCAGAATACTGTGCCTGGGGTTCCTGCAGCTGGCTTCACGTGGTCAGCTATCTACTAAAGCAGAGCCAGTCTGGGTGACTTTTACATCCATCGTTAGGCTAAAGGACAGGGTCACCCAAACCTTCTGGTTGAAAAGGAACTACACTTTCTTGGCAAAAATGGGCTTTTCAGTCCTGGTCTTCAAGCATTAATGGGAAAATAAGGGAGAAGTAGGTTCTCAAGATATGCGATGACCTCACCTGACACAAGAGCCACGGAGGAAAAATTCTTCAGGGTTTAGTTTACTCATTGGGGCTCAGAGTCCAAGGGAATTAACGGAACCTGAACTGGGTCTGTTCTGCCATTCTTCTGAGAGCTTTAAGACTATAAATGCAAAGTTTATATGCTCCCCTCCCTGGAAAGCTTTCTTTCCTGCAAAAAAGGAAAAGGAAACCCAACCACTGCTTCCCCAGAAATATCTTGAAGGACCAGGATCCTGTGATATCTGATCTAGAGAAACTATCCAAATTTTCACCTTTAGGGATAAGCCTTGGCCAGGTGTGGTGGCTCATGCCTGTAATCCCAGCACTTTGGGAGACCAAGGCAGGAGGATTGCTGAAGCCCACGAGTTTGAGACCAGCTTGGACAGCACAGTGAGACCCCCCCCCATCTCTAGTTTGTAAAACAAAAAACTCATTGGGCTGCTTTCCATGTTGCAATCAGTTCTGAATGATCCTAGGGCAACTGAGACTGCAGAACCCTAAATAACCCAAATCCCCACTATACCAGATGTGGGGGTGGGTGGGTAGCCAGATGGCAGTAATTCTCCCTCACTAAGCCTCACACCAAGGCTGTTGTTCACCAGCAGCAGAAAGGCTTCTTTAGATTTCAGTTCCTTTTTATTTCTCCTGCTTAGAAATGGTGAAAGAAGGTTAGATGAGGAATGTGGAGGAGGAGGAAGAAGTGGAGAGGAAGGAGATAATCTTTTCACAATAGGATAATGTGCCTTAGACAGTCAAGTGTTGTCTGTAGTTCAGTTCAGATTCTTGGAGTTAGTTCAGAGTTTCTTCTTTATTTTTATTTTATTTTATTTTTTGAGTTGGAGTCTCACTCTGTCACCCAGACTGGAGTGCAGTGGCCGCTCCCGGCCACCGCAGCCTCAACCTGCTGGGCTCCGGTGATCCTTCTGCCTCAGCCTTCCGAGTAGCTGGAATTACAGGCGCGCGCTACCATGCCCGGCTGATTTATTTATTTATTTATTGTAGAGATGAGGTCTCGCTGCCCAGGTGGGTCTCGAATCTGCAGGCTCAGGCAATCCACTCACCTCAGCCTCCCAAAGCACGGGATTACAGGCTGAGCCACCGAGCCCGGCCCAGAGTTTCTTCTTATTTGACCTAGAAGAACAAGGCTGGGGCAAGATTATCCAAACATGGAATCATGGACCCAGGGATACCTTACACTGAATCTTGGGATGTGGGTTTTGGGATAAGTGTGTCTCCTCTTTACAATTGCTTTGCTATTTGTGAGGTCAAAATCTTTCTCAATAACAAGTTAAAATAAAACCTCAGGGCAAAGCTTTGAATCTGAGCAACACATGGAAACATATGTCCTATTGTCAAAAAATTGTAATGGCCTAATCCAAACTAGGATACATGGATCAGTCCGTACACTAGAACTTATTTTTCTCTGGTCTTCAGCATTAGTCTTCATAAAACCAAATACTCACTTAATCACTGAGTGGCCAGATGCAGAATACAGCTTTTCTGCCTTTACATGGATGGCCTTTTGAATAATTGTGCAGACAAAGCATGGTAATGTGAAATATTCATAAATCACTGAGTCAGCCCTAGTCAACCTCTTAGTGCTTTTGTTTCCTCTGGTACCAGATGTCTCTCCTGGCTCTGGAAGGGGAGAGGCCAGAAAAGGGAGCAACTCACCAAAAAACATCTTAAGTTACGATAAGCAGCTGGGCACGGTGGCTCACACCTGTAATCCCAGCACTTTGAGAAGTGGAGGCGGGAGGATTGCCCAAGTCCAGGGGTTCGAGACCAGCCTGGGCAAGTTGGTGAGACCTCATCTCCATAATAAATAAAAAATTTAGCCAGGCATGGTGGTGCCTGCCTGTGGTTCCAGTTACTTGGAAGGCTGAGGTGGAAGGATTGCCTGAGCCCAGCAGGTTGAGGCTGTGGTGGCCATAAGCATGCTACTGCACTCCAGCCTGGGCAACAGAGTGAGACTCCAACTCAATTAAAAAAAAAATAGCTATGATGATCACTGATTTAGAGAAAGCCCACGTCTCAGTAGACAAACAGCTTTGGATGGAGCTCTCTGTAATAATCCCCTGAAATGGTTCTGGAGGGAGTATCTAGGGTACCTGAAAGTCTGGCTGATTGGTCTAGCAGAGCTCTCAGACCTTACATGAGAGCATTTCCTATTCCTAAAATACACTTGAGATCTCTCCAGTGAGGTTTGAGGAAATAGGCTGAAGCTCAGATCAGCCCCATTCCCAGCTGAGACTTGCAGAGCGCCTCTGAGATCGGACCTTTGTATTTCAGAGAGGAGCGTTCAGGTTCTTTACCTGGTCAGCCTGTACCAATCCAGTCCCAGTACAGCACTTGCTGCCTCTGCTGCCCTTCTCACTCTCACAAGCCTGGTACAGCTGAGCATGTCTGGGACCCTGCTGCCACAGCTGCCCACACATTTGGTTAGACAGAGCACCACAACCACAGATCAAATGAGGGAAGTGGGACCGAGACACAAACATCCTGTCTTTACTACATCGAGTGGCTCCAGCTCCAAGAATCAGGGTCACTGATCTGATTATTTATGTGGGACAGAGCTGCCCAATGACATGCATAAACTCATCATCCCTGTAGTCACTGCTAGTAAGAGAGCATTTTCTCCTTAACCCATGGACTTAAAAGGTGCTGTACTTTGGCTCCTGAAGTCAGTGACAGGAAACAGTGACTGGGAAGGTCCCACTGCTGACCAGGATGAGTAGGAATGTGTTGAGCAGAGCCTGGGTGGGAGTTCTGCTCAGGGTAAAGTGAGTGCAGAATTGCTGGAAGTTCTGCTTCCTTCTGAGGACCGGTTTGAGAGAGAAAGGGTTGAATTCCGAGCAAAGAGCTGAAGCTCCCCCCACTCAGTCCTCACCATCTTTGGGGACTCTCTCTTCCCAGCTCTCTTCTTCCTTGCAGGACTTGGGGGTTCTCAGGCCAGGTCTCTCACCTTGTATATGATCGCTTCCAGCTAAAGATTTCCTCCAGATTGGAAGAGAGAGAGACCTCCCGCCTCTGCAGGGTTCCCCAGCAACGCCGGCCCCCTAGGAATGAAGCTCGGCGCCTACTCAGCCCTTTCATCCTCTCTTCCGTTCGGAAGAACTCAGTCAAGGCCCGGAAAGACTCCAAGATGACCTCGTGGCTCCAGGCTGGCAAAGGTTCCTGCCGCAAGAAGCCACAGTGGCCTCCGTGGCGACTGAGCAGGAGAAAGAAGTAGGGGTTGCTGTGAAAGAGTTCAGTTGTCAGAGTGTGGTCTGGGGGTCCGCACACAGGGTCGTCAGCACTGCAGATACACAGCACAGGCACAGCCGCCTCGTCCACATCCCGGAGAGGGTCGTTGCGGTCCCAGTAGGTATCCCAGCTGATGGGGAAACTTTTAGTGTGGCAGAAGAGGGTCTCTTCAAACTCTCGAAGGGAGCGGCTTCTGAACAGTTTGCTGGTGTCCACTGTGTTCTCAAGGGCCGTGGCATATCTGGCAGCGAGAAGGCGGATGGGGAAGGTGGGAAAGAGGGAAGAGATCAGATCAGCAGTTGACAGAAGGGACAGAGTGGTAGCCCACAGGCCAGACCCTGGTCACAGGGGCTTTCTTTGGGGTATAGGGCTTTTAAAAACCTCCATTTCATGGCCGTTATTTCAAGTCAGGATATTTCAAGTAAAAATGCAGATGTTCAGCATCTCTAGGGAAATGGGAAGATCTGGCCATATGGGCTGGCATTCTTCAGGGCAACAATCAGCTTCTTCCCCCTTCCTGTGTCACAGTGCCCACCAGGCCTGTCATTCATGGCATTACTGTGCCTGCCCAGCATCTGAGGACAGTAGTTGACTTCACAGCTGCTGATCTACAGGAAAGGCTCCCCTCCTAACCTCAACTTCTGGCCCTCTTTAGGGAGCGCTATGAGCCCCTCCTAGAAGAACTTCTGGCTCAGACTATCCACAATCAGTAAGTGACACCTCCTCCTCATCCACCAATCATTTACATTTTATTGTTTATTTCTTTCTTTCTTTTTTTTAGTTGGAGTCTCACTCTGTCGCTCAGACTGAGTGCAGTGGCCGCTCCCGGTCACCGCAGCCTCAACCTGCTGGGCTCCGGCAATCCTTGCGCCTCAGCCTTCCGAGTAGCCGGAATTACAGGCGCACGCTACCACGCCCGGCTAATTTTTTTGATTTTATTGTAGAGATGAGGCATTGCCTGCCCAGGTGGGTCTCGAACCCGCGGGCTCAGGCAATCCACTCACCTCAGCCTCCCAAAGGCGCGGGATTACAGGCTGAGCCACCGAGCCCGGCTTATTGTTTCTATTTTTAATAAAATATGCTGATAATGACAAATGAGTGTAACCTTGATCCTGGGCAGGTATTCCTAAAGAGTGCTGGGTAGCAGAAGCAGCCACTGGAGGTGTAATTGATTTAGTGGGTAGGTTCCCAAATGGGGACCTAAGAGCAACTGCTTTAGGGAAGAGGGAGATCTTTGCTGTTTCCAGCTCCCTGGAGAGGGCTTGGCACCCTGACAAGGAGGCCAGGATGAGCAACTCAGTCCTTTGAGTAAATCAATCCAGCCTTAGCCAGTTGAAATTAGATGCGTGTCTCCTGCAAGCATTCAGAGATGCTTCCCCCGAATTTTCAATGCCAAACTTTCATGTGACAGGTAGTTCCTAAATGTGCAGGGTTTCTCTCCACTTCCCTCACCCTACCCTCCAGCTGGTGCCCAGATCAGCACTGGTGGTGGTCACTTTGGGATGGAAACTATGGCAATCAAGCCAGATGAGAGCACCTTGCCCTGAATTGCGCCAGCACCTCTGGGTTGCCATGGCAGTGCTTCAGGCTGTTGTTGATTGAGCTCAGAGTTTGACCTTCTCAGGACAGGAGGCAAAATGTGGCAGGGAAAGAAAGAGAAATCACAATTATCACCATTGATTGAGCACCAAACCAGTGCCAGGCCCTTTCTTTCCTTTTCCAAACACCTTGGGAGGTTGTTATTATTAACCCCATTTAAATGAAGAGGGAAGTGAGGCTCCAAGAGGTGAGCTAACTTGCGGGAAATTCAGGATTTGAATTTGAATCAGGGTCTGACCTCATATCCCAGGTCTTTTTGCTACACCACACTGTTGCCATAAGTCTTCACCCTCATTCTGCCATCTCCAAGGAACGCCAGAGTGCAGGCTGGGAATGTCACTCAGGCCTTCTCAGTAGAAAATTCTTGTCTGTCACCCTGGTAGTAAATTGTTCTTCTTTTGGAGATTTTTTTTTTTTAAGTTGGTTTAAATATTTTTAAAAAAAATTTAGGCCGGGTGCAATGGCTCATGTCTGTTAATCCCAGCACTTCGGGAAGCCAAGGCAAGAGGATTGCCTGAATCCAGGAGTTCGAGAACCACCTGGAAAATTTGGCGAGACCTCGTCTCTACAATAAATCAAAAAGTTAGTTCCAGCTACTTGAAAGGCTGAGGTGGAAGGATCGCCTGAGCCCAGCAGGTAAGGGCTGTGGTGGCTGTGAGCGTACTACTGTACTCCAGCTTGGGCGACAGAATGAGACTCTGACTCAAAAAAATTTTTTTTTGTTTTAAATAGTAAATATTGAACACATACCTAGAAATATGTAAAACATTTGTTAGGTGTAAATAATTGTAATAAATCAAATACCACCGTATTTCTGATTCCTTTCACCTCCAGGCTCAGAGACTGTAAGTAAACATTGCGGACAGATCATCGTTAGCATCTGCTTCCAGATCCCTCTTTGCTGACTTGTCAAGCTATGGACTAAGTGGTAAACGTTGGGCGTCACTGCGGCCGGTGGGCCAGGCGCTCGAGTTGCAGGGACACTGCGGGGCTGAGATGAGGCGAGAGGGCCCTGCTCTCGCACGCACAGTGATGTTCGTTGAGTCCGACTATGGCCGTTAAACCTGCTTCCCTGGTTCTCTCTAGACTACCGGATTGAGACAATTTTGGAAAATGTGTGCGGAGAACTTTGCCCACAACCGTTTGTTTGAATACGGAGTAGAGTTGTTTCCCAGCCAGTTCGAGACCTCTGCTCCCTCCGCGCGGGTCTGCGGCCCCCGTCACCCACCTGCTGAGAGCGATCTTCTGGTGGAGCAGAAAGCCCCGCTCGTAGGGCCAGGGCAGGCCGGCCTCGAACCACTCGCGGCAGCGCAGCACCGGCGAGATGCAGGCGGCGCCCGTCACGTAGCTGGAGGAGCCGCACTCGCCCAGGTAGGACAGCAGCAGCGCCGAGCCCGAGCCCTCGCTCACCGCGAACAGCGGGGCCGCCGGGTGTCGGAAGCGGATGTAAGTGACTGCCTCCTTGAGGTCGGACGGGTCCCCGAAAGGCTGCAGCCGGGGGCTGACCAGCGGGCAGCCGTGGTGGCCGCGGCGGTGGAAGATGACCGGGTAGTAACCGCGCTCCAGGGCGAGCACGCAGAGGCCAAGCACGTTGCGGGTGAGGCGCCCCCACGCATTGGGGATCACCAGCAGCACCGCCGGAAGGCCCCCGGCGTGCGTGACCCGGCGGTCCCGGGCACAAGCTCCCACGACCCAGTCCAGGGCCACCAGCCCGTCGTCCGCCAACTGCAGGTACTCCCGGGCCAGCTCAGGCCCGGGCGCCACGGGCAGGACGAAGTGGCAGAGGGTCTGCAGGTGGGGCCCCGAGAGCCAGGAGCGCGGGCCGGGCTCCAGCGCCGCCGAGCGGCGCAGCGCGCGCAGCAGGCACCGGGCCAGCGCCGACGGCTTGCAGAGGAGGCTGCAGCCGCCCGGCAGCGGCTCGCGCCCGTCGCCGAAGTGGTCCGCGGGGCCTCCGCCGTCGCCCTCCTCCTCGCCGTCCTGGTGGGGGGCCCCCGGCAGCGTCCTCGCTTCGACCGAGCGCCTCCAGGGCCG